AGATGTGTATGAGAGACAGCCCTGATAGCATCGTTGACGCTCCGAGTATGAACGCCTTCAAGAACAGACTAGACGAAGCTATGCAGGAGCATATGTTCAGTCTTAAAATGCGTAGCAAATTACGGACCAGGCAATAAGTTCAGCAGCAATCTCAATAAATCGTCAGTTATGGAAAGACCGGGTTCCGAAGGCCAAGACCGGGTTCCAAAGGCCGGATCCCTTGTGCATCAAGTCGCAAAAAATTCAAGAATCGGAAATAGGCCATGGGCTTATTTCTTCAGTGCCGACACTTCTATTCTATTCTATTCTATTCTAAGAGGACAACCAGCAATAAAATCGCTGGAGAAAAAGTGATTCCATCTAATAGAGTAACTAATTTTTTAAATATATATTTTTTTAGATTCGTAATATGTTCACCGCTGTTGACCAGAATGACGATCATTCAAAAATCAACCTAATGAAAATATCTCACGGATAAAACAGTTTAAAAAGTATATCATTAACCGCCCAAACAGTGGTACGCGCATCCTACTTGTACATGCGGGCCTTTCAAGTAGTAAGCAACTACTTACAGTTTCATAAAAGATTTCTAGTTAGTACTATTTATTTAAAATTTCAAAAATGCTCATAATGGAATTCAACATGAGCTGACAACGGTCAGAAACATTAAACATACGCCACATTAAAATATGTTTTTAGTGTTCACTTCAAATGAGAGATAACTCATCCCAGTGTTCACTTCCCATAAACTTGAACCAATTGAAACTACACTAAATATTATGAGCCAATTAATATATGTAGCATTGGTGCAGTAGGGGCGACTGATCAGGACCTCTGAATGGTATTCGATCACAATAATTTTGGGAACTATCGCGTTACACTTATTCTTATTAATAGTATTATGCCTCACCTCTATAGCTCATGACGAGATTCTCACACTTGTCGCCAGACGTGCCCAGTGGACACGCGCAGCTGCAGTCCTTCTGCGTGTAGCCGCCGTTCTTGCAGGGTTCAGACTTTTGCTTGCAGGCCTTCAACCAGCCGACTTTAAGAAGAGATGAATAAATGAATGTGAATGAAAAAATGAATGTGAAATACAAGAAAGTGAATTAATACATGAAAACGTGACCTTATCAACCATGCATGGTGTTCAACAGGCCTAACCTATACAGCTGTGCTTGGTGTTCAACAGGTCTCGCCTGTGCAGTTTTGTACATGGTATTCAACAGGCCTCACCTGTGCATTTGTACATGGTGTTCATGAGCTTGGCGTTCCAGTGCGTAATTTTATCGCCATCTCCCATGAGAATTTGAAAACGAACATCTTTAGCGAGCATCACGCGTTTGTCGTCTATGCCAAAACTCTGTAGGAGTTAAAGGCAGAGTGAAAATTACTTAAGACAGCATGTAAGAAAATGCTTAGCAACAGTACATATATATAAATTTATTGCCAAAAATAAATAAATAACTTAACCTGGCTGGACCTAGCCCCTCTAGAAAGGCCTCTAGCAACGTATAAAGAAGGGTTTTATTCACACCTAACCCTAACTCTAACCATAACCTAACGAGGTTGGCGTTTTTTTTATGTCCGGCAGTGTAGTTCATTTATTTTTGCGCCCAATTTTTAAATACGAACTAATTGCAGAGTACACAATCCGACGCGATTTTGTCCGGGTTTCTATCCCATGTCAGGTAATGTTACCGATTGTTTCCGGTTATTGTTAGACTTATATACCTCTTATATATATATATATATAAGATATATAATTGGGGTATAAGGTATAAGAGGTATTTGTCACTCGCATCTGATCCTACAATCAGTTAGTGTGTGCCTCGCCCCCCGCTGATTCTTTTGGGTCCAAAATTGTGCATGTATGACTCACCCGGTCGTGGTACTGCATGAGAGAGTAGTAGTCGTACGGGACTTCGAAGTTGATGGTCGGAAATTTATCGTAATTGTTTTCCATGCCAGGCTTAATGTTAGCCATGTACACAATGATGTTGTCGTCCCTGAAAATAAAATCTCAATAAATTACGTGTACTTGAGCAACACAACCTATACCATATAATCGATATGGAATATTATTAAAAAACATCGATAGTGTTTGCCATCGCTCACACTTTTTAGAGTTCATACAGAAAATAATTTTATGATAAATGAAGTTTTCAATACTTTTAAATAGAATTAAAATACATTAATTTCTGGGATTTGTCTTCCAATAAGATTCGAATTTAAACTCGTGACTATGTCAGATATTCAAGATTCAGCACATGTTTGATTCAATAATTTAAATGCAATTGAATTGAAGTTGATCAATAAAATTGTGAAGTAATAAAAAGAAAATGCGCGTCTGCCTCACTCAGAATTAACATCAAAACAAGCGAATAATAAAATAACGAAAAAATTATAGTGCCAAAATGTATTGCCAAAGATAGAGTTCATTCTGAAAGACATCCACGAAAATGTGAAGTACAAGTAATTGTTCAATCAGTGTAGTAGTGAAGTGAGTTTGTGGTAACATACTTTCGTGTGCGAGATTTTTCGTTGCGTCTTTTATAGGTTTTGACTTAAATTGAGCAATGAGAAGCTTGACATGGAATCTCAGTGAGCGAAGATTGAGAGTCAATGAATTCAGTGGAAATCAGTGACATGAATGGTGAAAGAAAACAAAGCGTAGTAGTGGCACTTTTTAAGGCATCTAATTTTAAGCCTGCGTTTACTAGGTATTATTGTTTTTGATGACGCTTTAATTATTATCTGCCCTATTTTACTAGCTCTTGACTTGTTTTCAACTTGTCTGCTAATCATACATTTTGCCTTTAGCATATATGATTGCATTAGCCTAAGCTAATGAGGGCTGGATAGAGAAGGAAATGCTATCCGAAAATACTAGAAATACAAGATGACCGTTGATGAGGATCCAGAGAGTACCGCTTCCGATAGTTAATAGTATAGATTTTATAGTGAAGGTAACTCAGTTAAAGGTTTACGTGCAAGGTGACTTTTATAATCTTAGGCTTCAAATGACATTTTTATTCCTTCTGTTCAACCAGTTATTTTATTCTTGGAAGAAAATCAGGGACACTTCATGAATAGGCGATAGGGCGGATTAGGCCTAACGTTCAACGCCGACTCCCATTATACACATACTGCTCTTTTTTATAATGCCGTGTTGAGTTTCACGCATAACGCGACCAGAATGAACTTTGAAAACAAACAGTCACATTAAATAATATCATAATTAAGGATAAAGTACATGGGAACTATGTACTTTATCCTTAATTAAACTATGTATAATGGGAACTTTCCGGCGATTGTGGCCCCAAATTTTTTTTGTCGCGCGACGACAGAAAGGCTGACAGAAAAGGCGTCTATGTGACTGGCAGCGGATATCTTCCGCTGCCAGTCAGCGGAAAGAAAAGAATATATTCTTTTAATTGTGCCAAAAGACCTGCGATGTTGCGCCCAAAAGCAGTGCAGTACGTTTTTCATCAAGCTTCGAGGGAACAAAATTTCGTGGTTGTCATTGTCTAAGATTGAATGGATTATGTATTTATTACGTTTTTATTAGAGAGAATCTAACGTGACTTCAACCAAATCAGTCAATTTAGTTTAGTATTGTATTTGCCGTCAATGTTTTAGTATTGTATTTGCCGTATTGTATTTGTATATTTTATTTGCCGTCAAGTCCTCGTGTAAATTAAAATAAGCGAATACAGTGAATGTTTGGTAATAAGTTAATTGAAATGTTGGTCATGCGTGTATATTTCGTAACTCCACACCTCACATCACGTAATCGTTCATACACCCTCACAAACCTGTCACTGCGAGCCTGTTCGTGCTTCATCCCCAATGCGTGGCCGATCTCGTGAGTTGGTCCTCTTTCCTGTGAATAAAGCATCATAAACTCACTGTTATTATTAAAGAACTGTCATTATATTGGACTTTTGGCTAAGCTTTGATGAGCAGATAAATTATTTAAATGCATTATACATTCAATAAATCACTCACTTTACGATACAATGATAAACATCATAGTTCAGGACTCACGTTCATTTGCAGTTTGCACGATATTTAATAAGCAGTACTTGCTTATTAAATATTACTCATTAAAATGACAAAACTGGGCTATGTTCAAATTGGTACACATTTGCTATTATTAGTAAATAATTACCTAGCTTATGAAATAACGTAACTGGATTCTAATCCGATAGTCAAGTCATAAATTTTCTTTCTGCACTCCTCATATTCAACAAAATATATGATAACTAAATGCTGAATTGTAGATTTAATGTCATGAAACAAAGTTTGCGTATAGTCTTACAATCATTTGAAAGTGATTTTAATTTCAAAAATGAAACGGTCTCCATGCAAGAACTATCTTCAATTATAATTTTTCAAATATCAACCTATTCTCATACTGGGACCGTTATTGCTTTTATATTTAACCTTCAACCCACAATTTAGACAATGCCACTAAAGTTGCCACTTTACTCGCATTATAATTACAAGTGTTATATCGATAACAGTTGAAATATTCGAAACATGTACTTAAAAGAATCGATAATTCATCATTCACCGAGGCACGTACTGGGCAATTTGCGAGGCTGACTTTTGTAGGTTTGCCCTTCCTGTGGCCTACGTCGGCGTAACAGGATTTATCGAGCCAAATCTTCATGTACTCGGCGCGCTCATCAGACTCTGTCATCTTGGAGAACTTGATGCACGTCTTGGCCTCCCAGGCAGCGATCGCCAGGTTTGCAGCAGTCGTGTTCACTCCCGCTGCCGAGTCAAAGTTAAAAAAGGTTTAAAACTGTTTTAACATGACAAATATTGGGCTTATTCATCCACCGTGAATGTTATAGATAATTGAATGCTCAGTAACACTTTAGTATTTTATTTCAGTTTGTCAAGTTATGGTGTTTGAGTTTGTATGTTTGGAGCCTGAATAGAAAGTTTTGTGCTTAAAATAGTACGTAAATAAGAGTTTGCTTCAAAATGAGGGTTTGTCCATAACCGTCTTTACATATTGTCGGACTGTTCAATTTCGAAATTGTTAATTGGATTTGGGTTGAACAGATTCAGGGAGGCGTAATTCAAAATGATTTGGGACAAATAATTATCAAATTTCATTCATTTTTTCCTGGGCAGCGTAGCATTTGCCTGCTACTTTAATGCGATGAAAAAAATTAAAGAGGACATCAAAACAAAAGTCAATGCAGTTGATTTTAAACGCATTAAGCTCGTAATGACTTACGATCCGATATTTTGTAGAAAATTTTCACAACTCCGTTCTTTTTTGGCCAAAGACTTTCCATTGACGCCAAATTTTTATCAAGAAAACTGTTCCATTGCTCCGCAGAATACAACATGTCGTCTATCAGGACGGATCCGTCTGCTCGGCGTTGCACATCCTGGAAAACATTTTAAAATTAAATAAAGTGCATCGTTATAATGAAATGAAATATATTTCATTTGCCTGTAAAAATCGCAGTAGTACTGTGTGAAGTTTGCGAAAGTGCACCACTAATTCGGGCTACAATAAATTCAGCTGATTCTATATCATAGCATATGTTTCTAAATGAATATATGTACTAATGCTCGAATACTGTATTTCTTAAAATACGGTAGCATTGCAAGTGACAGGTATTTTTTAGGGACATCTTACTTATATCTAGTGAAGAATTTTCGCACATATTTATCATGTTTATTAATGGTTTCTTTAAAACATTACGCAATTATTTTTCAAAGAGCATATTTCCATGATTTCCACACAAATTTTCCAGCTCTGAATGTGAAATTAATCCCTCGGAAGTTTTTCATTAATGGACAGTTTGAACGTGAAGCAATATTCACCACTTAACTTTCAACGCAGTCAATGTACATTAATTTATTCGTTGCTGAGTTTAGTTGAAACGATTTTTATTGCATGTCGTTCTTCTCCGTAGCTCAACTCATTGCCATAAACATAAACATGAAAAAGACTTTAGGTGAGATGAGTCACGGGTCAGAAAACTTTTTGTGACCGTGAATACGATGCAATACCGGAATATTATGATATGAAGAATTATTGCCATTTGTACGACAGATTGAGTGATTTACTTTGAAATGCTGGTCAAATAATTGTTGGGTGGCGAGCCGGGTGGCAGGTTGAACCTAAATTTTGGCTGGTGCATTCCAGGCCGTGTATAGGTTGTCAAAGTCAGTGAAAAAGCAACTACAATAATGTATATTCATGTTGAGCCTCTATATGCGATTTGAATCCCTAACTTCAAGATAAGCACACAATAAAATGAAATATCTTATAGTAACAGCCGTAAACAGTGACGACACAGAAATTGTAACAACCGTACGAATGAACGACACGGCCGTCAATATGCAAAGTCATCATCACTACAGTAAAAATTCTGCTTGAAGGAAGAAAAGTTCACTCCGGAAAGAAGACCATCACGTTATTGCACATTTGTAAGTAACCAATTTTTTATCTAACGCTGGCGAGAGCTGACGTTTCCGTTAAATATAAAGTCTTTTCTGTTATTACTTATAATTGAATTGTACTAAAATTATGCCTTAAATTCTGGGGCAGACAATCAATAAAGGCATTGGACCTCAGAGCTCACCTTGACCAGCTGACAAGAGAAGACGTCTCACTATGATGACGTCTGATCGCACTCTCCATATATACTGTGTGGATGGGGAGGTGAAGTGAGGATGGGGAGAATGAAGTGTACAAATATGATCCCAGATAATTTACTGTAAAAGAAATAAAACAAGACAAATGAATATGAGAATGATTTTAAGTAAAACGGAACTTCGACGAGTAATGAAAAGAAGGGAACGGAAGAGTGGCGTGCCGCCACTCTTGAATAGAAGAAATTGAGTTACTAGAAGTCATTTTTATTTAATTCAATTAACATAAATTTTTTATTTGTATAATTTGAAATATTAACATTTTTTGCCATTCACCAGATATTTATATTGGAATGCTAATTTTTCATCAACAGGATAACGTAAACTCGTCCGATCTTAATTAAAGACAATAAAATTATTTACAAATATATCCTCTCTACGAAATTGTCTAAGAAAACACCATACACCTTAGTTAGGTTTATTTTTCAAGTGAAAAAATGTTCAAGTTAAAACGGTAAACTCAATCAAAAATCAAAATTAATCCCTGCAACGTTTGTAAGGACAGTACTTTTGACTCATATGACTATCAAATAGTCTATAAATACCAAGAGAATATTTGCAAACTTTGTAATGAATTTCAATCACTTTGGCAGACTCTCAATATTTATTGCTAACGATTAGATCACTAGTTGAAGGCTGTACGAATAACAATTAATGCTCAAAATGCGGCCGCTTACCAGCCCGAACTTCAGAGAGATCTTTGACTTGTATGATGCCTATAAATTACAAATGAGAATTACCAAAACAATTTTCCCAAAACTTGATTTTACTGCAAGTATTAGCTTGCACTCTTTTGTTTAGTCTTAATTTACATCCAGTTCTTACATAAATAATTTTTTGCACCACGTGCTGGCTTGTACGGTAACATGGGGCAGTGAGCCCACTGCGGGTCATGGGCCCATAGCGGGTTTCTCGCTAAGTATGGCAGATATTGGTCCGTGTTCTCTACCGCCGGTCGCCAGTTTCACTGGGATGAAGTGTACGGATTTACGTTTTGCTAAGTGTTTGCGTTATTAAGTTGTTTGTGAATAACTGTTTTAGCCCAGATAAAAATTTTTTTGTTGCTAAATAAAACTGTTTTCGATTACTGTAGAGTGTAGATGAAGTTTTTGAAAGTACTGTGAATTATATTTTGAAAGTAATATTTAAAGGGATAATTTTGAGATCAAGTTTAGAATATTAGCTTTTAAAATAAAATGTTGACACGATATAAATTGAAATGAAACCTTAGCGGGGCAACGGGCCCACGCGTGTCACGGGGCAAAGCGCCCATGTTGAAGTCATGTGTTATACATCATTAGATTTGTCTCAATGACCTTTTCAAAACTATGACTAGCTTTTTGAATTACAAATTACATTTCATATTGCATGAATTTTTTATTTGTCGCCTCAAGGCAGCAGGTTTAGTTTCTAGTTATGCGTGTTTATGACCCCTTATCGAGTTATTGACTCTTGCCTTGCCAAAAGTTGATTTCAATATATTTCAAGTCAAAGATATATATTTTTATGTCAATGAAATATTTTTCTTCACGTCAGTGATAGATTTTTTAAGCCAAAAGTACATTTTTTTAAGTTAAGGATATGATTTTTCGAGTTGTTAATAATTGTATGAATGTCATATTTTTTATTACAATTTTCTAATTTTTAACTGTAAAGTGTTGTTTTATCATTTATAAACGAAAAATATGCAATTGTGGTAAAGGGACCAAGGGTGGGCGCCTTGCCCCAAGCCCATGGGCCCATTGCCCCAGGGGTGGGGCAATGGGCCCATTTGGCACTTTTTACAAAATAGTGTTTCATTAAAAATTGAATAAACATATAGGCGTCTAATTCACATCATACATTCCTCATTAGTTGTACCTTCAAACAAAACAAAGACCCACCTAGTATCAATTAAAACTTCATCAAAAATTTAGTTAAAAAAAGGGGGGCGCGTTGCCCCATGTTGCCCTATGCAAATTTGCGAGTTCGTATGTTACAAACTTTTCGGACCTTTCGTGAGAGTTTTAATTTAAAGATAAATTCAAAATGACGCCATATATATTTGGAATTTAAGAAATACGCAATATTGAGCTCATAGATTATTTATGATTTATTCGGAAAAGATATTACAAATGGCTGAATATTTCGAAATTATGTTGAGACTGGTCAATAATGAATAATTCTTCTTGAAATTTTATCGTTCCACCAGGATGATCAGAAATTATATGTTATAAAACTCAATTCAAATAACTTCCACTCATCTTCCTTAGCAATCAAAGTATGAAAGCAATTAACGATGCAATACCTGTAGTTATTAGACACTGATGCATACGGTAAAACTGACGAATGTGTATTTGAGAACTGAAGAACAATACACGTTAAGGTCTTCTGTTTAGATAGATCAATGTTTATAATGAACATTTCTAAATAATCATTCTATTCCAGTGATGTTTTGAACTACTTATTATGAGGTGCGTATATTGTATCACTACTCGATCGTGTATTCGATAATTATGAATTTTCTCTAAAAAATGTTCAAAAATATTTTGAGAAAAGCATTTCTAGCCACTAAATTTCGAAAACTTTTTAAATATTACTGTCATATTCGATGTGAGCTTGCAAAATTTATTCATCGTAATTATGAGTCACAGTAGTACAGATTTTGCAAAAGAAATTTCATTGGAGAGGCTTAAATTTCTAGACACGTGTTTCTTCAGAAATTGGACTGCTGTCTGGCAGCTAGTTTGCTTCTCCTACACCTCTTGTATGTAATAAATATTGGAGGTAAACGTGGTGAAACATCGCATCGATGTACAGTTATCACTCTGTCAAGGTACCAATCATTTGCACTAAGATTTCGTGCTGATAAATATTGTCGACACCACACACCCACGGGATCATCTTGATTGTTTTGTGCCAATACGCCACGTTTTATAGTATCTATGCTAAGATTATGTTGACGTACAACTCATTTTAAATTCGATTTCTTGAAATGTATGCGAAATTATGGTCGTTCGTACAGTCTATCAATTGAACATTTGTTTTTCCAATACGAAAAAAGTGAGCGTAATCAAAATCTTGTTCCAGACTTAAGGTGTATGCAAAGCTCGGAAACCTTTTGGCAAAAAAGGTGTTCATTGGAACGTAAAAGCATTAAACCGAAGTTAGTGTTCCAGTTTTTAATTGTCCCGGTTGTCTTGTTTCCAAAGTCTTTGGTCTTTGCAGTTATTGTTCTGTTTTTTCTTTGTCAATAACTCCATCGTTAGAGAATCTCGTCATTCTTTTTTATGTGTTAGGACGAAAGATTTATGTATGATGGGAGTCAATAGAACCTGGATTTCTGTGCCGCCGAGATTTCTAGCTGTGTGTGCAACAAGATAATGGAATATTTTCCCACACAACACTGGCCCTGCCGTCTATTTGAACGTAGAGATTAGAAGTCAAATGGCAGATGTTCCATCACTTGAGTCAAGATGATGACTAAGAACGCAAGTTCCATGCGAGCCATCTGTTGGACTGTTGGAAATTAAGATGTGACACACTGAGTAGTAACCTGTTAATTCAGAGTTATTTTGTAGTAAAAATTTAAATCAGTTGGACTTCTATTTTAATTTTTAACTAAACGTTAATTCACATATTTCAAAAGATTTGCATTCATAAAAGAACTCAATTATTTAAATTTGATTCTTTGACTTCGTTTCCGAAATTACGATGCCAAATTAAATGCAATAGAAATCTGAT